GTTGGGGATAGGGGCAGGGTCAGAATGGAAGGGGGTATGGCTCGTGGCACTCAGTGGGCGGCCACGGCGGTGCAAGAACGCCCTGAGAAATTTCGGTGGCAACTAAAGCAGAGCTGTAAGAAATGCAGAGGACAAAGTGGCGGACATAGTCGCTGAACACACAACGTGCTGCGATCTTTATATGAAGATGAGATTTTTAAATAAAGTCCATTTATAATTGAGAGCAACGTCACAGTGCGCGTCTGCTACTAGTATGGTTTGCTCGTGATTTGACATCATTTGCTGCCGTATGATATGACTGAGATGAACGGTAGAAATTGATGATATTTAAGAAAATCGAGTCGCCTACCAATTGTCAAACACGATCTGTAATCGCAATATTGACTGCAAAAAAATTGGCAGCAGCGGAAAGGATATAGCCGAAAATGCTTTCAAAAGTGCCCAAAGAAAATTGACAATCGTGATCTTCATATGAAAGAGAATAAAGAATACCGTAGATTCACAAAAAATCAGCCTCCTCGCGCAATCTTTGCGGTGGTAGAATGAGAATCGGATTTTCACGTTTTATCTTTCCTCCGCATTCGTTTTATTTTTTCTCAGCTAAATTTTTGAAATTGATTTCCAACGTGATGACGTTGGAGTAATGTCTCAGTTTTCACTCCTAGAATGTTTCATAACATTCTATAACATATATATTCTATAACAAATAACATATTTCTTCAGATTTTTAAAGAACGTGGACGAAAGTGAAAAACAATTGATAACATTTAAAAAAATTGAATTTTGCGGCAAAATGTGAATGTATATTTTTTCGGGGGTGGGCCATGTTTAAGCTCCAGAATAAATTGCTCTTTAAGTGTTGGAAAACTGTATACATTTATAAACAAATGCTACATGTATTTTACAATATATTTCAATTATTTTGTGCAAATTTGTGTTAAAATATTTTCACTTTTTGAGCTGTGGTAAGGGCATAAACTATTTTTAACAGTTTAAATTCTTGCGGACTTATCGCAAAGACGTCATTTTCTGGACGGACAGGTTCATATTCACAGTATTACTTCAACAATAGTTATCCACATGACAGATATTAAAGTGAACTAAGAACATATTTAAGGGCAGACATGGCTAGGAGACTGATTGACCAATTAGTGATTCCGGGCGCGTAAACTCTTAAAGTCATTAGTACCGTATGTGTAGTGCATTTTTTTCCCTCTGGAGGTGGCAATGATTTTCCACTGACTGCTAGTGAGAACCGGCGCAGACCTTCCCGTCGGATTTCCTCAATCATGTATCTCCCACCAGAAGGAAACCGCTCCTGACGGGCAAGCTCTAAGCTTCCGACCGGTCTCCCGGCACGTGTCGTAGTGGAGTGCGTGTAAGTGCAAGAGTACGTAAGTAAGGAGTGATGGTAGGACAAGAAAGAGGAAGGAAAGATCGCGCGCGGTCCGTGATCAATTTGTTAGGGTGCCGCTCCGACATTCGTCTGGTATAGATCGGAGAAACCATGGAAAACTACTGATGAGAACTGCCGGCCTTTAGAATTCTTCTACATACAGTAACTGAATTCGATCTAGCTAGGTAGCCAGTGCCGAAAATCCTGCCACCATCAGGACTCCAATCTAGGATTTCCAGGCCAGAGGCACTGCAGTGACATCATGTCATGCCCTGAGCCACCTCTCCGGGTTTTTTATTTTGATGATATCTGGAATGATATTTTAATTTGAAAGTTCTTAAAGCAAACTTATTGACGATTCTGGAGAATATACTAAAACTATATGGAATAATAAAAAGTAAAAGTTGATTAATTGCACATATTCACCTAACAGCCCCCTATCTTTCTGTTGAGGTTAGAAACAGCATTTCAAGTCACGCCTCACGACTTTTCTTGACTTGCCGACCCTGCTGAACGGCCAATGCACAGCGAGTTTTAGCCGCAGCAACGCTCACAGCGCGTTTGGATAAGTAAACGGGAAGCGGAGGTCGTAATCAGCGCAGTCCAGGGAGACGCGCGTCTCAATGTCATATCGTTACCTCTGTAATGCAATTCGCCCTCATTCCAAGAGGCAGCTGCGCCCGTCCGCTTATCTCGTTCCTTTCCTCCGCATGCGCTCCACCGTCCTTCCACCCCATCATTCTCTCTCAACGCTACAGATGAGATCTCAAAAATCCCAAGAATGTCGCAATGCACTCTCTTGGATTTCCTTTATATCTGATATCCGGTAACTCACCTCTTTTTATGAAATTCATTTCGTGAAATTAGAATTCCGGTATTTATTGGCACAGGATAAACATGAAGCTGCCCATTGACCTTTTGTACATTACCGTGGATGTTTTTTCAAGGAATTACTGTTTTGTGTGGCTGAATACGTGGGTGACGTGGCTTGCTTTGCTGGACTCACTACCAGTTTTATCTGCTATCTGCTTATTTGAGTTACTACCCAAGCTGTCCAGACAAAACATGAAAATATTGGACATTGTTTCGAATACTTGAATTAAAACTTGTTTTCTATATGTGTATATTATAATTAGTAAGCTCAAAATACAAAAACAAAGGCAATATAAAAAATAAAACCGTTTTGGTAACATAAAAGCAATTTCAAAGAAAAAAATAATTGAGAACTGCTTCCTCCCTACCTACATCCGCTGAAAGGAAGTTTGTCGTCAAGAGAGCGAAGTGGTACTGAAAGCATACACAAGACTTTTCTCAATAATGGGAAAAGCCGGCGAAAAAAAGAGTATCTCGATCCTCCTCGATTTCAAAAGACTTTTTTAAATGGGGACAGTCTGACCAGATTTTATTGATAGGTTTTGCGTGGGGTATGAAACGCAACACAAAATACATCACATTTTAAAGAAACGTCATATCAAACAAAGACAAAGTATATTTATTTTTATAGAAAATTCATATTTTCTCAATGTCAATTCATAAAATGTTCAACTGAAAACGAAAAAAAACACGCTCCTACACATCTCTAAACATATCCCTAAAGGTCATTTGAAATTCATTCATTACACACATCAATTATTTAACCAATTTGTGTACTGCTCAAAATAATATTTACATTAAATATTTGCGTTTTAGTGAATACAAATTATCAGTTGCCGAAATTAAAATATACAACGAAAAATATCTCTTTTTACCCTCCTCTTTTGAGGAAGTGTATCATATAGACAGCATGTTTGTTTAAAAATTGAATGATTCTCGTTGGGTAATTAACGCTTTAAAAAGATTTTCAATACATTGGTACAAATTATCACACATGAATTATTTAGCCACGGAACAATCATTTTATTATCCGTTTTTTTCTGATTCAATTTGATGTTTTTAAGATTGAAATTTAATTTACTGATTGTAAGGTTTGATACACTAACTATGTATCATATAATGATAAATATAACGATGTATATAATATTCATCTAATGATTTTTGAACAGAATTATAACTAAAACTATACATTAGTTCTATTAATACATTTACGAGACATTTACAATTGTTTTGTTCTCAAAATTTAACTAAAATTTATATTCAATACATTCGCAGTTCAGTGCCATAAACCAGAAATTTATTTATTCGTTTTCGAGAATCCCAAGATTCTACACTAAATATCAAATTATATAATGATCTGGGATCACGAGTGCTTTTATACTAGCATTTGTGTTAGTTTCCATTTCGAACTATTCTCGACAGTAGTCAATGTCTCATTAAATGTCGGTCGCTTTAACTAAATCTTTTGTAGTTTCTGGTGTCTGAATAATCCTATTTTTTAACGAAAATCAGTCCGTAGGGAGTATTTTTTGTCTCATAAAACCGAACACAAACGCCTCCCACAGTACTTCCCTATTATCTCGGAACTTACATTTTTAGGCTACGTATAACAGCGATATTGACCTTGTATTAACAACTAGCAACGCATTAAATATATTGTCCCTGCGTTCTCTTCCTCCTCCCAACGGTCAGCATTTTATGGTAATTTTCGGCGAGACAAAGTAATCGCTGCATTTCTCAACCATTCTGTAGTTCTCCAACACGTTTCAAGACGTATTTTCACACCGTCACATTCCATGGTAGCCGTAGTATGCGTATTTCATGGTAGCTGTGGTATGGTTCCGTTGGAACAGTACGGATGGAAAATAATAATTTAGAACATTAATTTAGTCCTTTGTTTTGAAACATAGGATCAGGGGCACAGAAATATTTTTAAACAAAATAACGAATGAAATAATGTATTACCAGATCTCATATTTACTAGATGTTAGTAGAATAATCCCATATGTTTTAAATAGAGGTGTTTCTTCCAAGAAACAAATGATTCCAAAACTCCATAATTTGAGAAATTTCACCAAATCACCAAATGTGGGGACAAGCATAAATATATTACGCATTTCTACGGTTTGATGTTCTATGTGCTTCCTGAAAAATTTCGAGTTTGAATTAGTTTGTAAAAACCCCTTAATTAAATGTCTGCTCGTCTGTCAACAATTGCAATCGTTCGACGTAAATTTACAATTTTTCGACAGAAAATTGCAACAAGGGGGCGAAACAGGTGAATAACGCACGAATCGAGTTTGGCGTCCGCGCTTAGTGAGGACGACAGAGAGACGAGTCCGAAAATCACCTCGCGCCCGAGTTGCAAAAACTATTTTTTTAACATGTGAAACGCAATGAGTCAAATAAAGGAATATAAATAAGTATTAAATACCTAGTAATATCTTAGTTGAACAAAAGTAAATGGATTTCAGTCAGTACCGTAAAACTGATTTGTAATTAATAAACAGACGTCGTGAAGATGATTATCCCACACGCTTCCCGATGTTTCGCAAACCGTGGAAATATTTGCAGTTTCGCACACAGAAAGCAAACACAAGAAATCGCGTCCCGCACATGGAAGGTTAAAAACCATTTTAGTCGGACCCTAGTAATAAAAAAGTCGATGAATCGATGAAGTGAATTACTTTAAACATTTTGAGTAAATCACGTGTTATAGGCCCTTGACATCTAAAAATCAATTGACGGCTATAAGTTACACGGGCAGACGAACATTCGGGCCGTCGCGCACTTCGGCAGTCGCGCACTTCGGCAGTCGCGCACGTCGGCAGTCGCGCACGTCGGCAGTCGCGCACGTCGGCAGCCGCGCACTTCGGCAGCCGCGCACTTCGGCAGCCGCGCACTTCGGCAGCCGCGCACTTCGGCACTTCGGCACTTCGCCAGTACGCCAGTACGCCAGTACGCCAGTACGCCAGTACGCGAGTCCGCCAGTCCGCCAGTCCGCCAGTCCGCCAGTCCGCCAGTCCGCCAGTCCGCCAGTCCGCCAGTCCGCCAGTCCGTCTGTCCGCCAGTCCGACTGTCCGCCAGTCCGACTGTCCGCCAGTCCGACTGTGCGCCTGTCCGCCTGTGTGCCAGTCCGCCTGACCGCCACTCCGTCTGACCGCCAGTCCGCCTGTCCAACAGTCGGGCAGTCCGGGCAGTCAGTCCGTAAATAATTTTCAACATTCTAGATAGTTAGGTAGGATTTAGCCGCTGACAAGGATTCTAACGGCAAGCAGTACTGCTCGGTTGTTTTCTATATAATCGTTGATCAATGCCATGCTAATGACTGCGCAGTTGGAGATCGGCTAGAGCGGGACACAAGTGGACAGTCTCCTTGGTACCGCCAGGATTGATTGATTTAATGGCTGATTAGAGTCTCTGGGCGCGTCAACTACTAAGATAGTCCGGTAAGTGTTGTCAATGCTTTCATCGCATGAGGTAGCAGTGATCTTCGCGTGAAATTCGTGCGTGGTCCGTGGCCCGAAGAGTACTGTCCCGACATTCGCGTGGTGTTATGCGGAGAAACCATGGAAATTAGCTATCAGAACAGCCGGCTGCTGGAATTCTCGTTCAGTCAGTGACTGAATTCGTGTTGGCTGGGCTATCCGGGACGAGGCGCGTCAATGTCATGGTGGCTAACGTTTCGGCCAGCGTATTGTGGTCTTCTTCAGAGCGTACTGCGGAAGAAGCCTACGCAACCAGTGACTGAATTCGACCTAGCTGCCTACTAGAGTCGAACGTCCTGCTTCTGTCAGGACTTGGTACAAACTTGGGATAAAAAATATGGATTTTTAAGTGGGAAAATCTTTCGTACGCCTTCTCTCGGATAAAATGAAAGCTTATATCCCATGTTCTAGATTTACTGCATATAATAGACCCTCCTGTCTAAAAGAAACCTCTGAGGTAAATTTAAAGCTTCGTGATTCATCGCCCCAGTGATGCCTTCTTTCGTCGCTAGATGGGTGTAGCGAAATTTCCGTGGTCAAACGGAAAAACGGGCCTGCTGGCCAAAGTCTCGCCCCGTGAAATAAGGAATCATCTGAGCTCAATTTCTCCACAGATATAGCAAAGGGCGCTTAACACATCCATGGGTTTAATTTTAGTTGAACTTACTAAAATTTGGAAAATTTACGAAGTTAAAAACAATGCAAGAAAGTATGTGCTGTTGTAGCTCCATTAGTTGCGTTTCTGCAATGAATTTATCTGGTCGCATCGCGATTCAAAAGGGCACGCATAAACAATCCACAACATTCTATGGGCAATTCTATGAGGCAACAACTTGTCAACCTCAAAATTTTCACTAATGAATAAACCACAGCTTCACATTTGTAGAGAAAGTACGCATTTATTTGAAACAATTTTAAGAAAGTGGTTCGCGGAATTTCACCAATGCGCGGTTAATTGCTTTCCCCCAAATTCGATTAGTCGCGCTCCATAAAAACCCTAAAGAAAAATGCGAACCATTGTTGCCTCCTTACGAAGCTTCATCTCAATAAGGAAAAGAAATGAAATTACGGACAGCTGATCGCCGAATCACGTTTAAAGCGACAGATCTCAATAAAATTCCGCAGATCGTCTTTTGTTCTTGTGTGTAAAGAATCGCATACCTGCGGTCTGAGTCAAGCACTGCTGACATTAAAGAGACGCTCGCCCACCCCAACTACCTTCGATGTTCTCGTTCCCACCAACGCCCTGCCCACCTACATTGTCACGGCCTCTCCTCTCACACAATTTTCCTTATCTTCGTAGACAGCAGCGAGGCTCTTCATCTCTCCAGACGCCCTCGCCGACCGCATCGCCTGCTCTGTTATCATAAGGTCATAAGCAGCGAACGCTACGCCACCGCTGCGCTTCTTCACAGCATCCCTTTCAGTGCCTTCTCAGACATGCCGTCGTTATTGCCACAGACTGTGTCGATATAACACATTCTTCTGCCATGCTTAGTTCCACACGCTGGTTGAACTGAGTTGACACAGAGGAACGATTACCGTTGCCTCTGCCGAGAATCTGTTTTGGATTTCAAATGGTTTTAATTCGATTGTAAGAGATTATCGACATTAGACGTATTCCTAGATTGAATTCAACCACTTTCTGGAGTGAAGTGCTCTAATCGGAAGTTTTGTGTGGTTTCTACTATTAATATGAAGCAAAATAGAGAGAACAACCTAATAATCGAGTACAGACCACGCGCTGTCTTACATGCTCTACACAACCTCACTCGTCAGGGGACTAGTCGGAAGCGTATACTTCAATTAAAATATCAAGTCCTTTGAACTTCGTAAGCTGTGGCTGTTACCTAATAGGGAGTCCTTTAGTAACGTCCAAACTCTAGATTGGTTTGGTAGCGTCACAGGACTTCATGTTTTCTTCGAAGTGTAGAATTTGTTCCAGTTGGAACGGTGTCTCGCTGCGGGGGAGGGGGGTACCAAGTGGGAGGAAACCATGTAAATTGACGTGTAGGTTGGCGCCGGATCTTAGGTGACAGCGAGGGAGCACTTCATCTTCCGGCGTGAAACATACACTTGCAGGACTGAAGGACTATGTTGAGGCGACAGGAATCAATATTTACTACTACCACCAGTAGAAGCACCTTCACCAGCAGCACCGCTAGCAGCGTCCCTTTCTTCTCCTCCTTTCTCCTTCAAGTCATGTGATCGCGACCATTGGCCTGCCGCTCGTCCCCCACTCTGATAGCAGTGTCGCCGACGCGGCGCCGTCAACGTCTCCATCCGTCCTCGACGCAATGGGCTTTGTCCCTACTCCCGGCGGCACACGGGGAAGACAATGGAAACCACTTCACACTTGACGCTGGGCATTGTGGGCCGGCTAGATGGCCGGAGGCAACGCTTTCCTCACGCCTCGCGTCTTGCCTCCGCGCCATGCAGCCGACTTGCAACTACAGGGTTGTCAGCCAAAATCAGTGGGTTGGTGCGTATATAAGGGTCATTGCGAGAATTATGATTGTAATTAAACCTTCTATAAAGCTGCGGAATGGGAACTCTCATCGTCTCTGAAAGTGTGTAATGCTTGGAATTGTTCAACGTAGAAGAGAGGAAGAAAAAGAGTCAGATGGAAAAGCGAAATACACAAGGCTACTAACTTCATATGAATAAAAGAAATAGTTTTCGGGACAGACTTGGAGTCCTGACAGAGACAGGAGTTTCGACACTAGCAACCAACTAGGTCGAATTCAGCCGTTGACTCAAAGAGAATTCTAGCGGCCGGCTTCCCTGTACAGAAGTTTTTCGTGGTTTCTCCGAATGACACCTGGCGAATGTCGAGACAGTACCATACGAGCCACGGACCACGCGCGATGTTCACGCGAAGATCACTGCTACCTCATGCGATGAAAATATGGACTACACTTACCGGAATAATGATCTTAGTTGTTGACGCGTCCGGAATCACTAATCAATCAATCCAGCCGACACCGACGAGACTGTTCACTTGGGTCGCGTTCAAAGCGGCCTCCAACTGCTCAGTCATTCGCCTGGCATTGATCAAATATTCTAGAGAAAACTACCCAGCAGTTCAGCCAGTCACTAGAATTCACCTTCAGTCAGCGGCTACATCATATCTAGCGAGTGTCGTAAATTCCTTACCGTCCGGACTCCTCTACTAGGACCTCACTGTTAGATTCGATGAAGAGATCGCGGCAATGTTGACTCTGAGCTAAATCAACTGATGTGAATGGACATAAAAAGAGAATTCAGGCATACCAGCCCTGAGGAAGACCACGACAAGATGGTCGAAACGTCGGCAACTCACCCTCTCACGCGGCGTTACCCGGACAGCCAAGATCACGCACATCAATAAAGATCATAAAAACGAAACGCCGGGATACAGCAAAATAATTAGGGATATAATCAACAGATCACAAAGGCCAAAAGCTATGGAAGATGTTTATACGCCTCATTAAGCTTTTCCCCTCTGAGCTAAGAGACGGAGTCGTCAGAACACATGTGCAAGTGATGTGAAATGTATGAAAACGAACATCAATTTCCCTCTCCCGCTGAGAATGAAAACGTAGTGTGACCAATCACGTATTCTCATAAGATAGTTATTTTCCCTCTCACCCCATAATTAAAGGTCTATGAACTTGTGCACTCTGTGATAACGCGGCATTGAACAAAGTACTAAACTGATCGACGTTGTACAATCGATATCTCGAAACCACCTGCATGCACAGCACCTACGCTTCGCAAAATCGGATCTCTTCACGTTGACCAGGTGAAGCTGAACAAACAAGATATTCCCGACGGCAGGAAAGACGAACCAGCGAAATCTGGTACAATCTGCCTACAAATTACTTCGAAAAACCTCTTCACAAGGGTAATCATCCTGATCATAACGCTATTGATGATAATTAATGATTCGTGAAATTCTATGACGATGTTTTCAAGTTTTCACATGCGAAAGATAATAGCACGTGTTTAAGCATTGTATTCACGCTGCGATTTCTCTTCCACAGCTTTTTCTTACTGTATTTTATTCTTGGTTTAAATTATATGATATAATAATTGAATATTTGATATATCTTCTCAATCACCGTGTCATATGGTGGGTATTATCGTAAATTTATTTAGAGGTGGTTTGTGACTGGAGTACTGAGCCAACTATGTGTTCATGGCGGCACGTGGCTCGGGATTATTACAACGGCCGGTTGGATTCTGGGTTTGCATTCTGCCTGCGAGAGCGAAAGTTGAACTTCACCACTACGAGAAACTTGGTAAAACAACGCCCAAAATATGCCATCCGAGAAGAGGAGCGGTCCAGGGACAACTTAGAGTCTCCAAAAGAGTATTCGTAGCCCACGACACCCACCCTTTCGTTGCTCAAAGTAAAGTTGACGTTTCTTTATCATTCCGTAACAAAGTGAAGGTATTTATTAGGCACTAGTGCCCGCTGAAGGTGCACGATCTCAGGCCACGCTGCCACGTTCTTTGGTCGCTCCGTCGTCACCTTGCTCACACGATTCCTGTGGCAATTGCCCGAGGGTGAATTAAGTATTCACATTCTGAGCCCGAACCCTCATTAAGATTAATTGATCGATCGACTGACAATTTTTCCTGCAACGTCAAATAATATGATGAATATCGTGTAGTGCGTATTTATCAGAGAAGGTCATGTACAGTTTTTGAAGATTCAGACAGTTTTTGCATAATTTGGGTTGAAATTAATGCATTTTATAAAAAAAAAATATTTTATTAAAAACTGCTCCAGCATGTTACGGATTTCACGGATAGTAGAAAGTACTCTTAAAGGAATTGAGCAGATTTCATTTTCGTTGAACTCTGTAAATTTTCGAAAGTTGGAAATTTATAAATAATTTGATTTACTAGTGTCCTTTCATCCGCCACATTCTCATTATTTGTAGGAGGCATGCAATACAATTACATGTTTACGTTCTAACATTACGCGGTTGCTATGCAATGCTATTTTCTACTATAAATACCAAAGCTACTCGCGCATTAAATGTAATTGGAGGGGATCATGATTTCTTACACACTGAAGAGCCAAACAAACTGGTACTCCTGCCTAATATCGTGTAGAGCCCCCGCGAGCAAGCAGAAGTGCCGCGACACGACGTGGCATGGTCTCGACGAATGGCTGAATTAGTACTGGAGGTAATGACAACATTAATCCTGCAGGGCTGTCCAAAACCCTCGTAAGAGTACGAGGGAATGGAGATCTCTTCTGAACAGAACGTTTTAAGGCATCCGAGATATGCTCAATAATGTTCATGTTTGGGGAATTTGGTGGCCTGTAGAAGTGTTTAAATTCAGAAGAGTGTTCCTAGAGCCACTCTACAGCAATTCTGGACGTGTATGATTTCTCATTGCCCTGCTGTAATTGACTACGTTCGTCGGGATACACAATGGATTTGAATAGGTGCAGGTGGTCAGAGAGAATGCTTACGTACGTATCACCTGCCAGAGTCGTATCTAAATGTGTCAAGGGTCCCACATCACACCAACAGCACACGCTTCATCTAAGAGCCTCCACCAGCTTCAAGAGTCTCCTGTTGACAGGCAGGGTCCATGGATTCATGAGATAGTCACCATACTACTACACGTCCATCCACTCGAAACAATGTGAAACAAGACTCGTAAGACCAGGCAACGTGTTTCTAGTCATAGACAGTCCAATGTCAGTGTGGACAGGCGCAGGCAAGGCGTAATTTTGTGTCGCGAGGTACATGAATTAGCTTTTGGCTCTAAAACCCCATATAGATGTATCGTTGAATGGTTCGCACGCTGACACTTGTTGATGGCCCAGCATTGAAATCTACAGCAATTTGGGTGTGGTTGCACTTCTGTCACGTCTAATGATTCTCCTCGGTCGTCGTCGGTCCCGTTCTTGCACGATCTCTTTGCGGCCAAAGCGATGCCGGAGGTTTAATATTTTACCGAATTTTCCGATATTCAATAGTACACTCGTGAAATGCTCGAACGGGAAAATCCAAATTTCATCGCGACCTCGGAAATCATATGCTCCATCTATCTTGCGTCGACTATAACACCACGTTCAAATGAAATAAATCGAGATAACCTGCCATTGTAGTAGCAGTAACGGAACAACTGTGCCAGACTAATTGTCTTATATAGTCCTTTCCGACCGGAGCGCCGTATTCTGGTTCGTTCCAGATCTCTTTATTTCACTATGTGTAGATGAACCCTATATATATATATATATATATA